TTCTCTGATGTAAGAGGGACATCTCCCTATTTATAGGGTCTTTGGGATTTGTGCCCCTGATTAGGTCACTGAACCCTATCATTGGAGGGTTGCGCCGTTTTGCGGCTTTCTCGGGATTTGGCCTGAAGGCCGCCTTTTTCCCTTAATTTCTGGAGTGACACGTGTCAAGAAAGGATTGGTCCACTTTGGGACATCCTGAGGCTGACACGTGTCATTCTCTGATTGGACCACATGGCGGGGTAAAATTACCCTTAAAAAATTGCATACAGAAGCTCCGAAGGGATGAACTTCTAACATCATAAGATTATGAATCCACTGATGCATGCAAATCTTATTGTAGTTTGATGATTGAAAAGTTTATCTTTTGGAGAAAAGGTGACGTGAACCCAAGGTTGAATACATAACGATGTAATTAAGAAACCTAAGGTTCACAAGCTAGAGATGAACATGGAAACTTCTTTTGAATATGATCACACATGCTTACATGAAGCATGAATCTGAAAATTTTGAAGGAGTTCAATAAGGTTCAAAAGAAGAATAAAAGAGACTTGGCAAACATTGCGATATGATTGTAACAGTTTACTTTTGAGTCAAATTGTTAACTTGGCAAGAATTCAAAAGCATTTACGATGTGTTCGTAGTGATGAGCATTTGAGCCAAGAACTTGATGATCATCCCAAGGATTGTAAAATTAGTTTACAACCTACTCCACAAAAAGAAAATGTTTTCAAATGGAGGAATTAAACTATATAAGATATAGCATAATTCATGATGAACTATACCTATCTTCCAAACAATAGTTCTAAGGATACACTTTTAAAATGAGATTTTTACGCTAATTAGGACTGCGTCAAATCACAATGTAGATAAGACATCATATAAGATATGGATAAGATAAGTTCTTATTTTGTTTTTCTACAAATTTAAGAATAAGAAACTTGTATTAAATTGTTTAATGCAATGTTGAATTCTAAAGCATAGTAAAAGGGTACTAAAACCACGAAATGTTTTGAGGACAAATTGTTTGTTGCTCTAAGTTGGTGCCTTTTTGAAAAAAGGTGTCATTTCTAAAGGCTAGTGGGAGTAATTCTCGAAAAGGTCGAGAAGAGAAACATACCCTATGCTAATTGGCCCTTTTTCATAAGGCAAGTGGGAGTATAAGTCTCGAAGGTGTTCGAGATAAGGCAAGTGGGAGTATAAGTCTCGAAGGTGTTCGAGAGAACTAACAAATAAGCATGATTCACACCATATTAAAAACAACAACACGTGGTCTCATTAATGAAATGGGATACGTAACCATGTGTCAAGGGCCACATTCAATGTATACCCTTCTTATGTTGTTCTTCATTGAAAATAAGTTTTCACTTGTTGCGCATAAACCCACAAAGTCTAGTAAGTCTAAGCCAGATAAATAAGTTTGATGGTTAAGGAATTCTAAAATATTGATTTTTGAATGTAAGATTTGACGAGTCACAAAATAGTTTAGTACAATGAAAATCTGAAATGGTTTCCATGTCTGAAAAATTGAGAGTGAGACACTTGATGATTTGCATGAATTGGAAGAGAACCATTGAATGCAAAGAGTAGACAAGGAAGGAAAAATCTTTTCCAAGCATTGATTAGTCACTAAAGGATTTAACGAATTCATAGTATTGACTATGGTGAAATCTTTCGTTGCTAATATTGCTTATATCTATTCAGACTCTTATAGTGATTTCAACTCTATGTGATATGGTTGATGGAGTTCAAAACACTTTCCTGAAATTTTTCATGAAAGGGAATGTGTATGTGATACACACATTAACGTTTTGAAGAACCAGGAAGTCCTAGAAATGCATGTAAGTTTCATAAGTCCATTAGTGGATTGAAATAAGCATCATGGAGAAAAATCTTCGATTTAATAAGTTAATCAAATTGGTTGATAGTCTTATAAATGAAGAAGCTTGTACATAAAAGAAGTTTAGTGGGAGCTATGTAGTCTTCATGGTTTTGTATGTAGATGACATACTTCTTAGAAGATACGACGTTTCCATACTTGAATAGGTCAAGTAATGGCTAATGAATTGTTATTGTCTGAAAGACCTTGAAGGTTTAAATGAGTACATCTTGGAAATTAAGATTTATTGAGATTGGTCTTGGAAGAGGATTGAACTTGATTGAGAAACTTATATAGATGAGGTTCTCTCTACGTTCAAGCATGAAAACTCCAAAGGAGGTTTCACTCCCATGTGGCATAGCACATTGCTTATCAAGACTCAGTGCAAAGCAAAGACTGATGAGATTTAGCGAATGAGTGACATTCCTTGTGCAATTGCAAAGGATTCGTCATAAAGGCTACGCATTATACTCATTAGATGCATGTATGCAATTTTCAAATTGAATTCTGATATGTGATATTGGAAATTATAAAATTAAGAGTTTCCTAAAGTACTTGGAGAAGAACAAAAGGCAACGTCTAAGTATATGGAGATAAACTATCATAAAAGAAAAGGTCGCAAAGTTCATATGGATGAGAATGTCTCAAAATCTATTAACTAAACTATTTCAGAAGCCTAAATATGAAAGTCGTATTAGTTTCAATAGAAATTGAACATATTAGATAGCTTTGATTGTGTATTATACACAGTTGCAAAACTATCAATTGTGTTCTCCCTATGTTTATCAATGTGAAACAAAGTTTCATACTTATTTAATCATGGTTTAGTATTAAATAAATGTCCAAAATATTTTATGAATTTCAATGGGTTTGTCAAATGCGTGATTTGATGAATGAAACCCCATCAGTGAACTAAATTCATGGAATATTTAAGTTCCTAATCCAAGTCGTTAAACTGGACATAAACGACTTATTGAAGAGGATTAACATATAATATTGATTAATAGTGCAGTTTCATGGGCTATGGGAACATAGAGATGTTCAGTCAATTATATGGATATGTATGGTTGATACAGATTGAACTGACCTACTTAGAAGTTTTGAAAAACTTCGCAAATTATATTAGTGGATTCCTTAGACATGAGTGGAACACTACTCAATTCAATGATTAGTGTAACCTTGATGTTGATAAACGTCATGCCGTAAAAGGGGACTATAAAAGCGACACTCAGGTTGCGCTAAAAGTTGAGTGGGAGTTTTGGTTGCCACAAGATTGAATAGGTCCTCCTATGTTAGATAGGATGGGTGTCTTGGCCTCTTGAAGAGTAAGGATTGGAAATGTATGGCCGTGCTCAAATGGATTACTAGATAATCATTTTTTTAGCAATTCGAACTCGGATTTCAAGAAATAATTTGAACGCTAGTATGGATGACATAGAGATGTAATCATACTATCAAATTGGACACTGAGAGACTTAAGGAATTTGAAGATTGCACGCTTGTCTCAGACAAGTGGGAAATTGAAGGAAATGTGTCCTCAACTCTCGTGCAATTACTAATATAATATGGATCGCATTATGGAGATAATAAATTCGTTTAGTTGGGTCGTCTTTACGTCTTGCTAGAGACCAATATTGATCATTGGGTTAAATCAATGTCAACTAAATGGATACTATGAGGTCACACATTACAGTGCTAGGTCGAACATGATTACCGAGTCCAAAAGTTGGGCTTATTGAATGACTGGCCATAAGGAGTAAGATAGGAATAAGTCTTGCCCTAATTAGATAATATGATTATATATAATAAAGGGCTTGGGGAAAAATAGAACAGACGTTCATCTCTCAAAAAGAAACAACGTAATATTTTTCCCTTCCTCTCTCTCTCTACAACCGGTTAGAAGTTCTCCATAGAAGAGGAGATTAATCTCTCCCGTCCAACTAGCATTGGTGGAGGTTCGATCTATACTTGTGGACCAATATTAGAGGAGCAACAACTGGAGCTCTAATCTCCGCAAGAACTTAGAAGAAAGCTTGGGAATTCACGCACCAAAGGTTAATTCTAAACTATTATGTGATCCTTTATTTGTATATGCATGAGATCCTGTTTAGGTGCGTATGAATGAGATTCATGAAATTCCGCTAAGAGTACCGAAAACCCTACATTAACTTTGTGGCTCTAAGCTAAGCTTAGTTTGGGAAGGCAAATCATTTTCTACTCTCAATGTGGTTTAGATTAAATTGGGAAACAAGGCAAGGTTGGGTTAGTGCATGGTCGAAGGAACTTAGGGCACCAAACAAGGTCTCTTAGAGGTTACGACTATAGCTCAGTGACTTCGGTGACCCATGCGTAAGCCTGACATGCTTTCGGTGCCTACAGTGGGCTTTTGGTAGGCCATCTATCCCCAATAGAAGTATTACGCATTAGTCAGTTTGCTACAACTGGAAGGTCATTGAGACATGACCTATGCTGAACACTACAGACAATTTGAGTGGTAACTGGTAAGTAATTGCTTCAAAGTGTGTAATATTCACGATGTTGATAGAGATCAAGTTAGAAGGCACATAACAAGGCTCAATTGGGATTTGTCTATGCACTTTAAGTGTAGATGTGTTTTAATTTCAATTTTTGTCATATTTGTTTGTCATTTACAAAAATACCGAGGATAAAAATAACCGAATAACACGTAATCTTCTCTCTCTATTTTTTTTTCCCCTTAAATAACACATCCTTATCTTAGTTATCCGTACACCTCTACTACATCAAAATCCTAGTAGTACTCTGAAGGATTTGAAGCTAATAGGGGATGAGGGAACTTCATAGTCCTGCAATTTCATTTTAACGACTCCATAATAGACACATTTAGCAATTTTTGGTAAATAATCTATAAATCTAGAACATCTAAGCATGATACTCAACCTTCCTAGAACTTTAGGCCTTCACATTGTAGCTTAATGGAAACATGTACTTTTTATAAACTACACTTTTGATTTCACGATCTCCTAGACAATTTTTTAAGAGAGAGATGGAAAGAAAAATAAGCGGAACTCATGTGAATAGGAGAAGGATAAAGAGAAAGAAATGTCAAAAATAAAGTATAGCAACTAAAAAGAAACGGAGAAAGTATAAAAATCCATTCGAGTAGGTTGCCTCTCTTTTTCTTGCATTTCAATTACACACGCACAAAGACTAAGAGTCTATTCTCATACGTTTATTTTCAGTTCAGTTCAATTCAGCTCCTAATTTCCCTCTCTTATAAAATATTCATTTTAGTCCACTTCAGCTGAGCTGAATTCAGTCTATGAGAACAGACTCTAAGCGTACCAGTTGCAAGTCATGGCATTTGGGCATGCTCTATCAACTTTCAATTATCATCGACAATTACTGCCTCCTTAATCGTTTTGTTCTAATCACAATTGCCTCCTTAATAAGCAGTAGTCATTTACGATTGAGCAAGTGTCTTTACGTACCATTCCTGAAACTGCCCTGTAGGTGTCTTTACGTACCATTCCTGACTTCCCGAGGTGCTACTCTAGGCGTAAATCAGAAGCCAGCAAAGAGGGAAATGGGTGAACTGAAGGCTAAAACATGTCTAATGACTCGCAAATTACAAAATTAGTGCAAAGTCCTGGAGGCTCCCTATTCCTCTTTTATAAGGTACATGTGCACAGTGCACATGCCACTGAAAATGTTATCCGTTGCATGCTAACTGATAGCATCTCAGATCTTTCCATACTTCATTAATTACTAGATTAGCATACATCACTACATCTCTACCATTAAGCACATCAACATATTCATTTCTATATTTTCACCGTCCTGCGGCAAGCAGCATTGAACACCTACAACATGCATAGGCAAGGATAGTGACCAAAAGCCAACCCCAGAAATCCTCAACTCAAGGTTGTTCCTTGCTTCCTTGATCTCCTTTTGAGTCCTCATTATCTATCAAGCCTCGAATCTTAACATCATAAAAGACCTCTTCAACTCTTTTCAAGTCATACTTCATACCTGTGATGCGAATCAAGAGGACAATGCTTAGACATGTCAAACTTGATGCAAACAATTACAAACTTTCAACTCTACTAGCAAACTCGAATACAAAATAAACGGAAAATTCAAGTGTACACACCATCAAACTTTTTGCGTAAGAAGTCATTACGAAGGTTTAGCATCCGAAAGGCAGCATGAAGATCAGTCAAGAAGTTCAACACCTTCCTTGGAGAATCATAGTCACCGTAAGTCACTCTATTGATCACATACCTAGGCTGCAGTAAACAGACTGTCAGTGACCACCGTCATCATACATAATGCAAACACAAAGAACAGAAGTAGGCACCATCTATACAAGCCAGACCTTGTCAGACCATTGTAACAGCCAAGACTAAAGCAAATTATACTTCATTAATTGTAGAGGTCAGTGTCACATTGAAACGATCAATAAAAATTATCTGATAAGTATATACCAACAGTAAAGAGCACCTCAGAAATCATTAATGCCTATTGAGCAAACTTGACACAAAACAAGTTCCAGGCAATTGTACTACATTGATTTCTTTCGAGCACAGTCATGCAAATGTAAACAAGAACATATTGAATTATGTGATGGATCACCCTATAACCCGACCCATACCCATACAAGTATATACTCGGAGGTCCAAAGGAAGCAAGCCAAGGGTCAATGGTCGGAAAGTCAGCAACAACAACAAATACAAAGGTCAAGAAGTCAGCAACAACAACAAAGAGCAAGAGGACAAAACTAATTAAGAAGCAACTAAGGAAAGCAAGCAACAAGCTCCTACTATGTCTAAATATGATTTTGCCATTTTAGTTAATCTCCCACATGTATTATCTAAGCTTAATTCTATAAGTATGGTAGTAGAACTTAGTTGTAGGCCTCCAGAAATTGAGTGACTTATATGGAGAGTAGTAGCCTCAAGTTGCTTGGTGAGATTAATAGCCTACAGCTATTGCTATCTTAGTTTCTTAATCAATCAATCAACACTCAAAGCTTCTTTCTATTAATCTGTTTTCGTATAATTGCTTGCGATAGGAGTAGTCTATTACAAATTAACAATTTGAAGCATAAATATTACCAGTTCGTTGGACATGAAACAGATTCCTGCAGAAAGAAATTTATATCACATCAGTAAACATAATGAGCCAGCTGTTGGTCAAACTAATTTAAGATATAACAAGTTATTATTAGCACAAAACTATTGATCATAAGTTAAAACTTTAAAAAGCTTAACATACTTCTTTTAACGAAAAAAGCTCTTTGAAATTTCATTATATTCCCTTTACTGGTACTTAAAGATTTGAATGTTTAAAAGCCAAAAAAATGCATGTCCAGTAACAGTGTTGAAGCAGAATACACAAAGGAAATGGGGTTCTAAAAGTATTCTAGAGAGTAAACTTCCCAAGTGATTATACCTAAAATTGTGAGTCTATTAGCGAATAGGGAAAAGTGCAAAACTGATATCGAACCCTCAGGATTTTCCCACAGCTTAAAGTTAAGTCTATCCAATCTCATGTTGTCAAATGGTCAAAGCATCAATCCCACTTTTGAAATTTCCTTTGCAAGCTACTTTTTAATTTACAGTGAGCATCTGTTCCAATATTTTGCCTTGAAAAAGTATCAGCTTGTATTTTTATAACTTGGCCAAAGTGAGAGCCAGTGAAGTTACTGAAAGACGATATGTAGATGAGACAAGAGCAGAGCATGACAAGGGATTTATCAGTGTGTCAGACGAGGGGAAAGGTTTTAGGCCACAGACGAGTAGGTCCAATGGATGATGCCCCTGAATGAAAGCTAACAAAACTTACAGTAGTGGCAGATATAAGGGATACAGGAACGTTTGAATAAAGAGAGAAAATTTAATTCCTGCTGGTGAGAAGGAATATGCAAATTCTTAAAATGTTATGATGTGGAAGACTAACTCCATACAGCAATTTTAAGAGCGAAAGAGAGAGGGGGGGGGGGGGGGGCCTTCAAAAAGTCCTCTTATCCGGAGATGTATGAGTCAGCAGCTTTGCGAGCTTGGGTTAGAAAAAACTCTGTTAAATTTTGATAAGACAAAGAGTAGTTTTGAGAGTAAAAGTGTAGCAAAAGCATTCTTAGTTTCATATTGATATATGGAGAGTTGAAGATTGTAGCAGGTCCAATAGATTGGATTAGGGTCCTAGTGTTTGTTAATGTTACGAGTAATTTCAACTTAATTCCTGAGTTTTATTATTAATTTGAACCAAGAAGGATGACTTTGATAAATTAAACATATGAGGTGTGACAGGGTGTTTGGAGTCTATCAGATTGGAGGTGGAACAGGGTCCAATGGATTTAATTAGGGTGCTAATGTTTGTTATTTATGAGTAATTTCAATGTAAATACCAGAGAAATATTATTATCTGGAACCAAGAAGAATGACAAGGATATATTATGCACATGAGGTATGAAAGTGTGTTTGGATTCTTGTCAGGTGTTGGAAGATCAGATATCATGCAAGATACTGCTCTCATATAATTAAAAGGCACATTCAAGAGCTGTCAGATTCTCAGATAGACCATATCAACATGGAGTAGGTTTGGTGTATTCTTCTGATGATTTAACATTAAAACCTGTGCTTACCTGAAAGCTTTGTAGGCTAAGAAAAAATTATTCGCAACTGCAAGAGCCATGCTAAGGTTCAACCAAGAACTTTTAGCAAGTGAGGGGCCAGATGATGAGAAGTAATACAGCAGACATAGGTCAGAAAACCACAATAAAGTTCCCCATCTTCCTTGGACTCCTTCCCTACCTTCCCCCACCCCCCCCCCCCCAAAAAAAAAAAAAAAAAACCCTTTTCCTCATATTTATCTTTTGTAGACTATTTTTGGGTCATTAATTCAACCTTCAGGGCCAAGCTTCAAAGAACTAGTGTCAACAAGTTGGTTCTAGCCTCCAGGACTAACTCAGACACCACAACCTTTTTTAAGAATAGATATTAGAGATAAAATACAACTCCGTATAATATTAACTAAAGCAAACTGTACTCTGTTGGTTAATATTTTGGCTTCAAACTATCACACACAGGCAAAATGTGAGACATGCAAAGTGCTCTGAGAAAAAGGCACAACACAGAGATAAGGAATATGACAATGGGAGAATTTAAGCAGACCAAAGTATAAAACTAAACAACAAAATCCTAGCTAAAAAAGGAAAAAAAAAAAAAAAAAAAAGTAACATACTTCTTAAGTTATCTCTTTTTGCTTAATATATATCTGGTCACATTTTAATAGCCTATGTTGTAGTAGCTATTGGACCCCAGATTTATAATAAAAAAAATCTAACCAAGATTAGTATACAAGTTATCTTAAATAGCATAATATACTAGAATGACATTTGCAACTTGGCACCAGATAGAGCATATCAGATATCATATGAATTAAACAGTATACCAGGACTTGATTGTAAAAAGAATGTTTATCAATAATAAACTAAGAATGTATTCAGTACTCTGCAATCAACATCCCTTGTAGCATCTGAAGGAAATGTGTCATTGACTCTCGTGCAATTACTAATATAATATGGATCGTATTATGGAGATAATAAGTTCGTTTAGTTGAGTCGTCTTTACGTCTTGCTAGAGACCAATATTTATCATTGGGTTAAACCAATGCCAACTAAATGGATCCTATGAGGTCACACGTTACAGTGTTAGGTCGAACATGAATACCGAGTCCAAAAGTTGGGCTTAGTGAATGACTGGCCATAAGGAGTAAGATAGGAATATGTCTTGCCCTAATTAGATAATATGATTATATATAATAAAGGGCTTGGGGAAAAATAGATTGACGTTCATCTCTCATAAAAGAAACAACGTAATAATTTTCCCTTCCTATCTCTCTACAACCGATTAGAAACTCTCCATAGAAGAGGAGATTAATCTCTCTCGTCCAACTAGCATTGGTGGAGGTTTGATATACACTTGTGGACTAACATTAGAGGAGCAACAATTGGGGTTCTAATCTCCGCAAGAAGGTAGAAGAAAGCTTGGGAATTCACGCATTAAAGGTTAATTCTAAACTATTATGTGATTTTTATTTGTATATGCATGAGATCCTGTTTAGGTGCGTATGAATGAGATTCATGAAATTCCGCTTAGAGTACCTAAAACACTATAGTGGTATCAGTTAGCCCCTTGCATATAATTTATTGGTCACAATAATATGGTTATTTTGATGTATTTTATGTTAATTTTAATTTGATTAAGGGGGGGAATTGAATTATGGATCGAATAACCCAATTAAAATATGATTTTGATTGATTGGAATTGATTAAATGAAGATTTAATTGCTCAAATTTTTTTTTATTAACCCTAGCCAATTTTTTTTGCCCTAAATGCATTAATTAATTTTCTGATTTTTGTTGTGTTATGAACCCTAATTTCGAAAATTAATGTGTTAATTTCATATTATTTGATTTAATTTCTCATACTTAAAAGGTTTTTTAGTGTGATTAATTAATTCATGTAAAAGAGTTTTATATGAATTAGAAATCAAATTTTATCAAAAGCCCCATATTAATTAAAATGGAAATTTTAGATTAATTTTCTGAAATTATGCGTAAAGGAGTTTATGTTTAATTTAATTAGATCACCAAATTAATTTTGCAAGAGTTGTAGAATTAATTTAACTCAAAAAAAAAATGAAATTGTTAGCTGAGTGGTGGCAGCCACGGCTGGGTGGCTGTGACATGGCTCGCAGTGTGCTCGGTCACGGCAGCCCCTGTTTTCAGTTTTTAAAATAAAAAAATAAAAATTAATTAATTTTGAATTATGAATTTAAAATTAATTAAGGATAATTGTTTAAAAAACTGTTTTTAAGGAGATAAATGAGCAATTCCAATTATGGTTATTTGACTTGGTTTATGTGATTATCCATAATTTGATTTTTTAATCAAATTATAATTAGATGGTTAACTAATGATTAGGATGGAATTTTAAATTGGTTAAGATAATCCTAGAATATAAATGTGATTTATTTTCTTAGATTATATATTTCTTTGATTTCATCTCATTCCTAATTTAAATATATGATATTTTAATAATGGGATTGAATAATATGGAGATATTATCTAATCGTGTCCTAAAATATGTGATATTTTGAAATATACGTTGCCTTAATTAAGAATATCTGATATTTTAATTTAGGCAAAGTATGCTATGTGATTTATTATGTGGCAATTGTATGTTATATATGATATATTATTATTGCTATAAATGACTAGTATGGCCCAAAGTTTAAATTAGAAAATATGATGTGCGTATCGTTGTGTATTTTTGTAATTTAAATACGATCTGCGTATCGTTAAGTATTATTGTAATTTATTTTAATTATGAATTAGTTTAATTATTTAAATACTTGATTAATCCAAAGAAGAGCCCAAGATGAGAAGGCCCACGATGAAGATGGATGGAGATCCAAGAAGAATTCAAGGAGGTGCCTAATCAAGCTTAGTTCTTAGGATTAGGGGCCACACTAGCTCATATTTAATTTTATTCATTTTATTATTATTCTTAAAATGTTTATAAGGTTATTGAATGTTGTTATCAAATGCGCTAGAGTTCACTGATTTATAACAACATAATAAACTTAAGTCCCACAAATATTGAGGCTCGCTTTTGCAAATATAAAGTACTTATTAAACCCTTGATTAATAGTAATGGGTCATGCCTCCGCAGGGTATTATTATTAATCTTGGGAGGTAAGGTGAAATTGCGAATTTTGCACACTTAATTTGGTCAGCCTCAACAAAATCATCAAAAGCGTTTTGGATTTTGAAGCAAGGGGATAGTTGAACATGTGATGTTATCTATCCAACCAAGAATTACAAGAAGTTGTAATTAGTAAAGGAGTTTACTTACCTTGAAAATGTAACCTTAAGGAAGGGCCTCCGTCCGCTTAATGCTACATAGGGATAGGATCTTGGAATCACGTTATTCATAAAGGGACACAAAATGAATATAGTGTAAAGTAGCTAAAATGATTTCAAAGGATGTTTGAATCAAAAACTACTTTGATAAACATAGTTGAATTTTGTATTTATTTGCAAATATTGATTAATTTTCGTGTTATATATATATA